TGATTTACCTAAAGTATGGTCCTCATTCTCGAAACAAAATGTCGCGTGCGTCAAAGTTCTCATATGTTCGTAATAATTTTTTTCTTCCATTTTGTATTTGACGGGGGGTCAGGGGTTCCTCCAAAGCTTAAGAAGGACTATTCATTGAAACGCTTTTGAACGAATTGGATTTGGGCATAATTCGTACCAAACTTGTTATGAAAAAAAAAAAAAAAAAAAGCGACTGTTTTATGCCGCTGTTTTTCTCTGCCAAACGAGCGGTAGCTATGTAAACGTAAATTAATTACGTCGCGCCATGGATGAAAAAAAAAAGTATGTATATTTTTTATAATGCAAAATATAGCATGCAAAATGGCGTACTAAAGATTTATGCGTGCCCAAGGTGAAAAAACATGGTGGTGAAAGGAAGCATCACATATTACGGAGAAAAACAAACAGGCGGGCACGGCGCACCATATGATGCAAAGAATGGTGAAAAAATGACGCCGAAAAAAAACACAAAAAAAAGTGCGCAAAAATATACAAAGAAAGTTTTTTTTCTTTTCTTCCTCAAATAGCCAATTTGTGGAAAAAAAATTACGCTAATGTAGGATTGTAATTTTGTGTTACGTCTCCACAATTTAAAGAAGTTGAAAAGATATTTCCCAGCATAGGTAGGTAACATAAAAGCGCTTACCGTCATGTGGATACAATTCCATTGGCGTAACACAAACGTGTCCTTGTACAAACCCACGCATTGACGTGTGAACAGACGCCTGCCGCAACCCCTACTTGTTCATTCGAGAAAGCTTGCACCCTATTTGTACACGCTGACCAACCGGATTTGTTGTAAGTTTTCTCCTTTTAGCTGCACGAACATGTTCTGGAATCTTTTTATAAAATTCTTGTATGACCCTGCCAGGGAGTCGCGCATGAATTCGTCTAACGACTGCAGGTGGGAAAGGTTAGGGAGGAAACAAATGAGAGGAAGGGTGTAAAAAAAAAAGACGGGATGTCTGGACAGTGCAAAAGACGGGGGACACAAATATGTACGAAGCTCCATGCGCACGTTTCCCCCCCATGCTCTGCTCCGCATCGCTCCATGTCTAACCCGTAGCCCCTTCTGATACTTGCAAAAAAAAACAGTCGCGTAGATGACGTCTTTGTCGTTGTTTGAGTTGGTTCGTATTACGGATTTTATCCTTTCCCCATCGAGACTAAATGAGGTGGAAAAAAAAAAAAAATGTGTGGTCGGCGCGAATGAAGAATTATATGATGAAAAAACGTGAACAATATACGAACAAACACTTAGGCCAAATTGCACGGGGAGGGGTCGGATCCCTTCCCTGCCAGTTCACCCTCGTCCGTTTTTTCCCCCTCACCTGGTCGTTACGAAATATAAGTGAATGTCAGAGGTGTCCATGTACGTGGGAACAAAATCCTGTGGCTTATCAAACAAAATGTCCTTTTTAGTTAAGTAAAAAGAATCCCACAAATAATCAACGGAGTAACTTTCCCCGTTGAGCGTAATAGCGAATCGCAGACCCTTCCGCATGATGAAAATGTGAGCAGGGTAAAAGATAAATAAGCCCAGTAGCTTTTTAATTCTCGATTCCATGACAGAAAAAAATATATTATAAATATCGGAGGGTGCAAGATACACTTCTATCGATTCTGTCGCGTTGGACAAATGCTTTAGCACCTGTTTTGCGGTGTTGTCATTCATCGTAACTGGCCCTTTTACGCTAACAGAAGTAACGAAGGTTTTTTTCCCATTAATGTATACATTTTTGGAAACCTTAGCTTGGACAAAATAACCTATCATATAAGACTTGATCAAAAAATGGCTACCACAATGAATTGGGTGCTCTCTAAAGTGTGTGGGGGACCCCACATTTTTCGAGAGAAACCATTCAATAAGGGTAAAATCATCGTATGATATATTTTCCTTTTTTTTAACATCTCCTTGTTGCATGGAATTTAATTCTTTCACTTTTATAACATCTCCGTCTTGCATATCTCCTAGGATGATTATCGGGTTATGTACCTTTCCCAAATGTAATGTTTCGTTTTCCAATTGGTTCAGTCTCTTCTGCTCCAAGATGAGGCCTTCTTCATAAACGTCCCAATTGCTGTACAGATTATTATTAATATCGTCCAGTAAAGATTGAATGTTACTTTTGTTTTCTTTACTCAGTATATTATTATCATAGACATATTTTTCCTCAATTTCTTCTGTGTTGATTTTGTTATATTTTATTGTCCCATATTCTACTACGTCCAATCCGTATAACATTCTTATATTATCAATGAAGGCAGCCTTTTCCTCATTATTTTTCAGCTCAAAGCTACATAAAATGAATTTCTTATCTTCTGTATATTCGTCATTTACTTTTAAAAAAATGTCTATGGTGTTAATAGAGCTTTCAATAACCTGGATGTCCTTAATTAATATTTCCTTAACAATGGTGTTTCTGCTTCCGTCCACAATTACTATCTTACACTGAGGTTCATTTTTTAATTCCAACATGAGGGGGAAAAAAGTATTGTTAATTTTGTAATTTACTATAAAGGTACAATTTCGTAGTAAACATTTGCTTGGTTTGTATCTCTTTGCTCTATTTTTCGTTTTCAAAAATTCCAGATCGTTTTTGTTATTTTCGCGATATTGGGGGATCTTTCCATTGGGCGTATAGCCTGATTCGTGTTTGTTTCTCACATTGTCACTGCCAGCACGCTTGGCCTTTTCACTACCACTCTTTTGTTCACTACGCTGGCGAGAAGCGCACGAAGAGCTGCTTTCGGAGTAGACTGCGTTTCCCATGGGGGTAGACTAAGTCGAGGAGTTTGTCTTCGTGTATGATATGTAGAAGGGGATGGTCATGAAAAAACGCATTTTCCCTAACAAAAAATGACGCAACAAAAGGTACCCCTGTGCAAACATATTCGCCAAATGTTTGCGTAGCGTAGTTGGACCCATGCCACATCAGAAGGATGGACAAAAGTGGGAGTAACGTTGCGCTGAGGGGGAATTACACCAAATGGTGTATAGCCGTTTCAAATGTGCGCATATTTTTTTTTTTTTTTTTTTTTTTTGCTTCTCTTAACTGTGCTATCGCCACATTTTGTACAGGAGGACGCGCAAATTGAATGCGGACACCCCCCGGACAAATTAAAACAACTGTGTCATGTCTGTGAAAAAAATTAGAAGACCCATTTTCAGATAATCGAAAAGATGTTCATTCCAACTTTGAAACGCTTTTTAACTGTTTACATTCGAAATGGAAAAAAAAAAATTTCCGTATTACAACAGCTAAAAAGTGTATTCACAGGTCAGGCAATTTTGACGCACATGCAATTTAATCGCGTAAAAATGGCTGGACAAAAAAAAAAAAAAATGGAACAGCTGACTCAATGGATGTTTGGAAAAATCGTGAAAAGTGTAAAATTGATATTCGCTCCCTCCAACAAGGTTCAAAAAATGGCTACGCAAATTCGCAATGTTTTGAGCATATAGACGGGTGACAATGGTGTACATATGTACATATGTATGTATGCATGCGCATATACATACTCCCCCAAATGGGGGATGCAAAATCCCATTTGGGAAAAGTCCGCGCGTTTACATGAGTTTCCAAAAAGCTGTGCGCGGAAATGCATTCGATAGAGCCACCCGTACGACCAACTATTCTTTTGACGCTTTTTTGGAGCCACACAGGGGGGGGTTACAGAACAGGGAGAAGAAAAAAAAAAGAGAAAAACATGCATGACCATGCTTCAAATAGGGTAAGTTGTTACACATTGGGCTATATTTCGAAAGACCACGTCGATATTACACTGCGCCGCGAAACCATTTAGACGTGCGAAAAACGGTTAGAGATTATTTCACACTTTCGCAACTGTGTGTCCGAACATTAAAGAAATAAACAAAGGGAATCAAAGAAAAGATATAAACCAAACATGGACTTAAGCGCAACGGTGTCCCGACCGACCATGCTAAAAGTATGTGCTACATTTTTGTGCAGTTTCTCTGAATCGAAAAGCCATAAAACAACATGAATAAATTTGCATTCGTCATTACCCATTTGCATGTATCACCTCCTGCATTTTCCTTAACAAAGTGAAAATTTCACACATTTTTGTTTGGCAACTTTCTGCGCATGCTCTGCGATTTTGCACTCAGCGCAAAAAGGATGTGCAAAAGGGAAATAATATCAGATGAATTTTTTTTTTTTTCGACTACCATTCGATTAGCAATTTTGTTACAGTTCCTTTTGCTTTATGACTCCGTGCTTTGCAAAATGAAAAGAAACAGGGAAGGAACTTTTGTGCAAATGCATACATCGCAAGAGACATACATTACCAGGTGGCAGTTCAGGAAAATTCACTTTTGATTTATCTCCTACTACGTAACGAAAATGAACAAATTAAGATAAGGGTAATACATAGCACAGTGCTGTGGGGGACACACCTTTGCACATCCCCCCTTTCCCCTTCGTTTCCATCTCGTTCTCAATTGAGAAATGCTCCACTAATCCTTGTTAGCGTACAACTTTTTCTGCCTAAACTCACAGTTTTATCGAGCCACACGTACTTTCTCCTGTGCTAACTATGCAGTGAGACCAAAGGGCCTCCATATATGAAGAGACCACGTAAAAAAGAAAACAAAAAAAAAGGCACACAGAAGAAATTAGCAACTATCACTTGTTTTTTCTGTCACCCCGTATTTCGTAAGCCTCTTTTCCCCCCCTTTTTAAGTATTCCCTAGTTGGGGTAGTATGTCCACTTTTTTTCACTTTTTTTTTTTTTTTTTTTTTTTTTGTGCGAATTTGTCAATTTGGCGATTTTTTTTTTTTTTTTTTGACAGTCTGCTTATGTGTCTAACTTTTTTTTTTTTAAATATCTCCATTTGAATACTCCCCAATTTGTCGCCACGACGATTATTTTTAATTTTTTTTTTTTTTCAAAAATTGTCTCAAGATTTATCTCTTTTGTGATCCCCATTTTAAGGGCCCGTCCAAATGAATAAAATAAAAGTTCAGAAAACGATTGATAGTTTTTTCCCTGTTAAAAGAAAAAAAAGCATAATTACGAGTAATGAGGGTGGGACGAATAATTCGTCCGATTCCGTTACGAGTACTTGTGTTGAGGAGTTGGAGGCGGCAGATAATGATACCAAGAAGAGGAAGATAGACGACAGTGTGGGGGTTGGAACAGCTCTCGATGAGGTCTCCACTGTTAATGGGGTGGCAATCAACGAGGACGCAGGTACCTTGAAGGAGACGACAAACATGGAAGAGGTGGTAGCCGGTAATAAGGACACAAACATGGCCGAAGTATCTACCTTGAAGGAAACAATCGGTGTGGCAGCAACTACCTACCCGTACGCCGAAGAAATAAAAAGCCTAATGCACGCAGAATGGTACGAGCACTTAAAAGACGAGTTACGAAAAAGTTATTTTCAAAAAATGTATCTGAAGATAAAGGAGGAGAGAAAAACTAAAGTGATATACCCCCCAGCTCGGCTAGTGTTTAATGCCTTCTTAAAAACGCCCCTATCAAATATAAAAGTAGTGATTGTAGGTCAGGATCCCTACCATCAGAAGGGTCAAGCCATGGGGTTGTGTTTCTCTGTACCCGTTGGTATTAAAATCCCGCCAAGTCTGAAAAACATGTTAAAAGAAATAAAACAAACTAGTAATCATGGAGACTTAATTAGTTGGGCAGAGCAAGGAGTGTTCCTACTAAACACATCTCTAACTGTGGAGGAGAATAAACCCGCCTCACACAAAAATTATGGATGGGAAACCTTCACCGATAAAGTCATAAACATTATAAATGAGAAAAAGGAAAAAATCATCTTCATGCTATGGGGCAACTTTGCCATAAAGAAATGCTCCAAAATCGACACCAAGAAGCATTTTATTTTAAAGGCGGGACACCCATCGCCCTTAAGTGTGAGGCACTTTGCCAACTGCGACCATTTTAACAAGTGCAATGAGATTCTCAAGCGCCACGGCATGGCGCCAATCAAGTGGGAGTTGCCGCAGTGAGGGGAACAATAAAATAGAAGAAAACAAAAAAAAAATAATGAAAAACGGGTTCTTCGCCTGAACAGGAAAACCCAGATCACCTGGAGCGCTTTTCTACAAATGTGTCAGCTTACCCCGTTTTTGTGTCGACAACGGAGATGCTTCCATGTCGCAACAGTGAGTTTTTTTTTTTTTTTTTTTTTTTTTTCGCATTTAAACTTACTTTACGGCGTTAAGAAGCCTTCTGGAAACACTAAATAAGCACGCGCGTTATATGCTAAAACAAATTGTACACCGGCGCTGCATTCTGTAGAAGCGTTTTTGCGCTTACAGAGGAGCAGTTCCAACGATTATACGAAATAAGCCGTTTTTTTTTTTGTTTGGGGAACCTTGCTACGGTGAAGTGATGTACATGTGTGGAGTTATTCAGGCCCCCTTCAGGTAGGAGTGAAGTAGGGTGTATATGTGTGGGGGGCCGTACCCTTGTGTGTAACCATGCGCCCCATATATGTTTTGCTCAAATGTAGAAGTGAATTCGGCAGAACAGGTCGACAATACTACCGATCCATAAAGCTGCGAGGAAAGAAAGACACACAACCGGTTAGCACAATTATTAGGGCAAAGGAAGTGGAGTGTTTTTCTCTGCTTAATAAGCCCCTTTTTCCTGGACTCTCCTACGTGCTAAATGCTGATAGAAACCTTGTGAAGAGTTTCGAAAAATGCAAAAAAAAAAGTGCACACATAGGACTTTTTCTTTTAAAAAATGTGGAAAATGAGCAAGTAGGAGGCTTCTCTACAGACGCACAGTTTATTATGGATATGCCTGTCGGAGGAAAAACCGTTTTGAAGAAAGACATATCCTTCATTAACGATGTAGAAGATGTGTACCACTGCGGATCGGTAGGGCTTATCCGAGAGGTCCTCTACAACGATGATCAGCCCAGAAACGACACGGAGGGGAGACGTAGCCCAGCAGAGAAGATTCCCCAAAAGAGTAGCGCATTGGATAGAACAGAAAGAGTAGTCTGTAGTAGGGATGACTCCCATGATGGGAAGGAGCGAGACGAAAGGACGGGGTCCCTATTGGATCAATCCAAACATATGCATCGAGTGGTCATTGAAATTGCGGAAAAGGTGAAAATTGAAAAGTGGGTCAAGGGGAATACAGCCCATGTGGACGTAATTAAGGAACACATATCCTGCACGCGAAATGGAAAGCAAATAAAAGCTTACCAAATGGAGGTCGTAGACAAAATAAAAGAAATAATACAAATAAATAGTGCGTGCAGTGTTGAATATAATTTATTGTTAAAATATTATGATGTGAAAAATGTATACAGTTTGGTGAACCTGGTAGGTAGCATAACCATGGGGAATAGGAATTCCCTTCAGGCTCTGCTAGAAAAAACGGATATAGAGGATCAGCTAGCCACCTGCTTGGACCTACTAAATGAAGATATTCTTTTGTTAAAAATGAAGAAAGAATTATCGACAAATTTAAAAAACAAATTTAATGATGAGAAAGAGAAACTAATGATAAGGGAGTGCATTTCTAATTTGAAAAAAAAAATAGGAGAAAAAACCGACCACGAAATTTTATGCGATAATTTTTTGGCCAAATTTCAATCGAAGAGGAGTCATATGGATGAGGAAGCTTCCACTGCTATCCTACGCGAAATTAACAAATTCGCTTTGTACAATGAACACTGCAATGATTATGCGTCCACCTACCAGTACCTCAACACGGTGTTGAGCATCCCCTTTGGAAAGTATGCACCTCTTTGTGAAGATATAAGTGCATGCGAAAGGACATTAACACAAAGTCACTACGGAATGCAGCAAGTGAAGAAATACATTTTAGAATATGTAGGCTTGTATATACTAAACAAAAATGTGAAACCTAAAATACTTACCCTTGTTGGTTGTCCGGGCATTGGGAAAACCTCCATCTGTAAATCAATCAGCTCGGCGTTACAACTCCCCCACTATGTAATTAACATGAACAATATTACTAACATGAATGAGCTCATTGGGCATAGGAGAACGTATGTGAATAGCTACGAGGGGAAAATCGTACAAGCTCTCATTTCAACAAATGTAATGAACCCCTTAATCGTCCTGGATGAAATAGATAAAATGTCCTTTACAAATGGCAACCTATATTCTACTCTCCTAAACCTTGTAGATAGCTCACAGAATAAGGCGTATAAAGATGTGTATGTAAATTTCCCCATTAATTTGGAGAGAGCTTTTTTTATTTGCACCGCTAACTCGGTGGAGCACATCCCAGAAACTTTGCTAGATCGAATGGAAATTGTAAATGTGTATCCCTACACCAATGAGGAAAAAATTTTTATTTTTAAAAATTACTTGGAAAAAAAATTGCAGGAAGAAACTAAAGTGACGAATGTACATCTGAACATGTCGGAAGAACTACTCCTTTACCTTATCCAACATTATACCAACGAGAATGGCATACGGCAATTTTACTCTCTTGTTTATAATATATACAAAAAGAGAGCCTTCATGTTGTTAAAAGGGGTTACTGGGAGGGTCGATTTGGGGGTCCACAATTTGCACGTCTTGCACAAATATGTGAGCTTTGATTTTCTGCGGCAGCGGGGAGGCGTTCAAGCCATTCCCTGCAGGAATGAGGGCATGATCAAGTCGCTCGCTTTTACGGAGGATGGCGGACAGGTGGTCACAATAGAAGTGGTTGGCCTAGCGGGGGGAAATTCCAACGTGCACTGCACGGACGCCTTTCTAAGGAATACCGCTCAGGGGGAGGAACTGCTCCTTGTGCAACCTACCCCGCGTAGGAACCAATTCGCCATGGCGGACGAGACGATGCACCCATCAGCGCTGTTGCGCTCTTCCCAATTGGGGAAACGTGGTGGAGAAGATGTGTGTCACCACGGAATGGCTGCAGCCCCCACCTCATCACATATGGTGGAGCCCCCCTTCATTGACGCTGACAACCCACCCTTTGCGATACAGAAGGGAAGTGAAGGTACGCATGGGATCAAGCACCTGGAGAGAACTTGGCCGCCAGACCCCTACCAAATTGTTATTACCGGAAACGTGGGTAAAATCATGCAAGAAAGCATCCTCATAGCGAATACCCTTGCCACCCATCTGATGAAAAAGGTGGTTCCCACTTTTCAGGGTCAATATTTACACATCAATTTGAGCGAGTGCGATGTGAAGAAAGATGGGCCCAGTGCAGGTGTGAATTTCGTTACTTCCATTGTGTCCTACTACCTAAAAACGGCTGTGAGTAGTTCCGTGTGCATGACTGGGGAGATTACCCTTAACGGCCATGTGGTGAAGATTGGGGGGCTAGTTGAAAAAATGATCGTTGCGAGAAATTTCGGAATACGAACCCTAATCATACCCAGGGACAATGCACAGGATTACGAACTCCTGCCAAGTGCTGTGAAGGGAAACATCCGGGTGCTATATGTTCACCACTATTATCAAATCTTTAATTTCCTTTTCCCCAAGTTTGGCCCCTTATCGCCCTAGACACACTCTCCAGTAAAGCGGAGCGTCCAAATGAGACATATTTCTCTGTCCTTTTCAATTTGTGCAAAAATTTCGTCACACCAGTTTGCTCAAAAACAAATCGTTGCTGTCCCCCAACATATGTTACATTAACCGCTCATCAAAATTTCCCCTTTTTTTCGGGGTGTCTCAAATGCAGGTCATCTGCTCTTGGTCATTATATTGTTATGAATTATTTTACTTTATTTTTTATTTCCCAGTGGGCATTAATAGCACGTATGCCGCAAGGGTTTATAATTCACCTTCCCTTCTTCTGTGCATACCCATGGGGAGAGGGGAATTTTATAAAAGCGTGCGTGTTTCGACACATATTTATATGTTTCTCATTTTTGTAATTAAAACGAGATGGCTCATCAAACAATTTTTTTCGTGCTAAACCTTTTTTTTTTTTTTTTTTTTTGGTCCGATTTTGTTGTAATTTTTCACGTTCTGCGCGACGGAGCGGATTGGGCATACCATGGTGTGCTTTTTTCTCACATGTGAATAATATCGTGCCATGTGGTTATAAAAAAAATACTTCCCCGCACATACTCCTTATGAGGCTTCAATAAAGGGTGCGCACAAAGAACAATTTGTTGAAGCAATACTCTGCCACTAGCTGGGAAAAATAATCCCATTGGAGCCAATGTATCCCCAAAAAGGTTAAGCTGCACAGATTGGAAATTGAAAAAAAAAAAAAAAAAAATCACCTTTTTTAAAAAGCGGTAACAACAAAATTTATACCGAACGGGGGGGAAAAAAAAACAAAGTGGAAGCAAAAATATTATACTTCCCTTTTTTTTTTTTTTTTTTTTTTTTTTTTTTTCTCAATTTTAAAAGTACTCCCTTGATATGATAACAAAAAAAAAAAAAAAGAAGAAGTATATAGAGTGAGAACAGAAAAGAGAAAAAAACAACGAGAGGTGGCTAAAGCTTACAAGCGTAGGCCGCATAAGAAGAAGAAGAAGAAGAAAAAAAAAAAAAAAAGAAAAAGGACGACTTTGAGAAGAACACAATGGGGAAGAATTCGAGGCTAGAAAATTGGCTACAGTACAGAGTGAGAGTCACTGTAAGTGACACCAGGTACTTCGTCGGCACCTTCCTCTCCTATGATAGGCACATGAACATTGTGTTAGTCGATGCAGAAGAATTCAGAAGGGTGAAGAGTCAGGAAAATTCATCCAAGGTATGTGTTTGAGAGAGTTTACATGTGTACTGCCGGGGGGAAAAAATAATAAATATATAATTAAACGTAGTTATGGAGGGAAAAGGGCACATAAAAATCATCCTTGCTTAGCTCCCCTTTTCCCTCCATAGCTGCGTCGTACGTATACTTATGTGTGCCATTAATGGGGAGTCGCGTCATGTAGGACAACACTATGCATGCCAAATTGCGAGCACAACAACTATATTACGCCCCCACCCCTCTTTCGCCTAATTTGATGCATATCTGTTACACACTGCATTAGTTTTGTGACAACCTCTGCGCATGCACTGCGGTGTGAGAACAAAATTCATGTCTCACTTCGTTTATACACTTTGTGTACAACCACCACCCCCGCAGGAAATCAAACGAGTGATCGGCTTGATCCTCATTCGAGGGGAAAACATTGTCTCGTTTACAGCCGAGCGAGCACCTGTGAATAAAAAGTCCATGACAAATGTGCTGAACAAAGGAATGGCAACAGGCAGAGGAATCCCAATGAATAATTTCGTTCCGCTTCAAAACAATTTCAATCCCAATATGGCCAACCCCATGGGCAATATGCCAACGGGGATGGTCCTCAACGCTGGAACGTCCAAAAATTTAGCACCAGGAGTGAACCCCAATTTTAGAGGCTCCAATATGCCTATGGGCGGTCATCGACCAATGATGCCCATGAACATACCAATGAATCAGCCGCTGGGGAATGTCGGAAATGACCAGCAGAGGATGATGCCGCAAATACAAGGCCAGTTGCCCTTTCCCCCTCCCAATGTGAACTCCCCACCAGAGCAGTGATCTTGGAAGTGCTTGGCGGGATGATGTGAAGCATAGAATTTGTGTTTAACGCTATATTCATTTTGAAGCATTACGTGTGAGCATATGCATATATATATATATATGTAACGGTGTGCCCATGTGCTGCTTGTTTGTGGTATGCGCTGGTGACATGAAGACGAACCACACACAAAAGGCTTCACGTGCAAATTGCAACCACAAGTCTATGTGATGGCACAGGTACTACGTAGGGAGGGGCCCAGAACGACAGAAGTATCATTCCGCTCAATCCCTGGTGTGCAAAAATTAACAATTCCTAGAGGACCCTAAATGTACATTTGGGGAAGAATTGCGATAATTAATTTTGTTATTACAACACCCTTTTGTCATTTGTTACAATATTAAAAATGTATTTTGCTTGTGACATTTTTACAACAACAATATTTAAAAATTTTTCAGATTGTGTATTTTATGAGTTGGGATACGGCATCACGGCAGCGCGTTTTCATGTATATGTATATATTTTTTATACGTACCTTTTCTTACCATTTGTTCTGCGTTTTTTATGCCATGCTTTGGCATGTCGCCGTACCGCCACTTCAACCTCATGCGTCGCTTCCCTGTATTCTGCGTAGCATCGTCGAAGTTGGTATCTCCTCCCTATTCACATGTCAGCAACATTGGCCTTCTATTCCACACCAGCACATTATGTTGCTGTCAATTTTGCTGCGACACAATTTTTTTTTTTTTTTTTTTTTTTTTTTTAACTATGAACCCCTTTCAAAACATTTTTGATTGCCTTTATAAAATTACAAATTGTTAAAGCATAATGTGAACGAAAGGATTTATTCCCATGCCCCCTCTGTCTGATGGTGACAATTCGGAAGAAATCAGTGGGACGAAGTTTTAACCTCACCACAAGAAATGAGCCATGTGCACACATGTTACACGTCTCATTTTTGCCCTGTTAAATAATGTACATAAAAAAATTTACATTTTTTAACATGCGTACTAGGGCATACAACGCGGACATATGGTTCCGATTGGTTATTTTCGTCGTGATTATATTTAAGCTATTTATGTGCACATAATGGAGTTGGGCAGGGAAGTTGCCCTCGATTTGGATTGGTTTTTTTTTTTTTTTTTTTTTTTCCCTGCATGAAGTGAACGAGCAATTTATAATACTTTCCGTTATGTCGCCCCCCGTGTTCTCGCCCATTGGTACCACCTGATATAGTCACAAGACACATGGTCATCGTCTTTTTTTTTACGCATCATTTTGCAAATTCAAAGGGGGAGCGATGAGAATGTAAAGACGTAAAGCGGAGTAAAAGGCGTATTTATATGCTCCCAAAAAAAATTGCCATCGTTCTGCATACCAATCAACGCGTTGTCCCAATGAACAGTACGACGCTTTTATTTTATGTTGATATAAATAATTTGGTTCCTTCTCGATGCTACGCGCAGCATGGCATATTTTTCGTCCATTCGCATCTAGCCACGTTTGATTTTGTTTCATATGCAGTTGGCATGGTCAAAAAAAAAAAAAAGAAAAAAAAAAGGGGTTGGCCAAAAATGTGAACAAAATTGCAAAATGGTATAGAACAAGCAGTTATAATTAAAGGGCCACAAAAGTGACAATTTAAAAAAGGGTGTCCTCAAAACGTCATGCACGAGAACAAGATTTCTTTTAAAAAAGAGTTCAATTGTGGATGCAGCAAGCCGTTAGCCGATGTTGTGAAAAAAAAAATGAAGTAGTAAAAAACGTAGTGCCCCTATAATAATCGCCAGGCATTTTTTTTTTTTTTTTTTTTTTTTTTTTTTCAAACATTGCCCATCTTGGGTATAGGGTTTTATTTGTTCGCTACAATAGCATGGTATTGTTTTTATAAAAATTAATAAACAAAAACAGAGAAGTAAAAAAAAAAAAAAAAAACAATAAGCCAAAACTGTTTAATTCGATTGTATTACAAGTTTTTATCTTTTTTTTGTTTTTTTTATTTTTACGACTGATTGCTAAAAAAAATTAGATTTAAAAAAAAAAGGCGCAAGGGTGTTTATTTGGCATTTGAAAAAAACAATTGCCATTTGGCGCAGGTATGTAGAGGCAGCACATGTATATACATATATAATACAATTTATGCTTAAACGATCTGCGGGTGGTTAAAAAAAAAAAAAAGGTATACGAAGAATATATACTCCCGAGCATTAGTGTGTATGCATGCATTGATGCCTTTTTCTTGTGAGAAAAAGCTATTGAGGGAAAAAAAAAAAAAATATAGAGGGGCTACAAACGGCACCTGTTTTTTTTTTTTTCAACCCGTTTGGACTTTTAAACCACCATTGCATTAACTCACCTCCATTTTTACTTCTTTTTTTCGTTCCCCGTAAACTATATTAAAAAAAAAATACATATGTGTGTTCCTAAGTTGGGGCATTTTTATACCTACGTTTGGTTTTATGCCGATAAGAACCTCGCCGAATTTTGTGTGTATACTGTACTTGCAATTTTATGAAGTAGCAAGAAAAAAAAAAAGAAGAACAGAGAGAAATTGCACCTTTGAGGTTTTAAATAACCTACCCATTTTGTTAAAATAAAAATTGAATCTATTTTTTTATCGTGAATTTTGTGCTACCTGAGGTTGCGATAAACGAGCGTATGGGCAGGTGCACGCATACATGTAGGTAGGAAGCGGTAGGACAACGTGACCCCTTCTACGTGCACACACCAAACCCGTGCTGCGTATCCTTCGCACACCCACCCACGTGTATAACTGCAGCGGCATACCCCTCGAATTGATGAACCAGAAGAGAATGATACAACGTGGACATTGAAAACGCCGAAGATCATTTTTATTTTATTATTTTTTCCCATTCCGGTAAAGGATTCACCTGACCGATCAACGACGCGGTAATGCGACAGATGCTTGTGTTCGGTGTGTATGTACGAATGGATAAACGTACCAATTGGTTTGAACAGCAATCAGCTGGAGCATCACACCCGGTTGCCACACCAATAGGCCTACCTACCATTCGGCATGTACATGAATATATAACTTATCACAAGAAGAATTATGATCCGGCCTTATGGGAAAATACACGTTTCTTTGTCAAGCGATTATGTTGAATTTTACGAAGAACAAAATTTAAAAGAGCCACACAATGGTAGAGGAAAAGAAAGTGATAAAAAATTATCATGTGAAGAGGAGGAGTCTACAACGGTTGGGTGCACAAGGGATGATGTGTATGTTGATGGACATACAGGTGAGGAGGATTTGAGGAAAACGAATCATCAGCGTGGATGCCACCATGCCGGTTTAGGTAAATACAATTTGGGAGATGGTAAAGGGGGTGATATGTCTCCGGAGTTAACTTCTTCCGGGGTAAGCAATACGGAGGGTCAGAAGAGGACTGTGCAGGTAGAGGCCGCAAAGGGGTTCCTCCTCCCACCTGCACAGCACGGAGGTACGGAATCGTTGAGGAGTGATAATGACGGCGGTGTTGCTAGTGTAGACAGTGTCCACACTGGACGTGTAAACCCCAGCGAGGGCTCCACGAAGCAAGTGCAATACAAAACCAGGAGGGCAACCCCCCCCACGGTTCGACTAAAATGTTTCAGAAGAATCTTTAACAGAACATTCAGTAGGTATTACTTTATCGGAAAGCCGTTTAGGAGATACGTAAAAATGAGAACAAGTGCTTCACAAGAAAAAGCAAAAAAACGCACAAGTAAAAAAGGTAATACAGATGGGATAGGCATAAAGAAAACGGAAGGAGCAATGGTATACCATGGGGAGGATGACTTTTTTGTTAAGAGGCCAGACGAGGTATCATCAGAGAGCGCCAAAAAGAGAGGCAAGGTTACTATGGGGGAGGAAGGACACAATAGAGGGAACATAAGCCCAGTGAAAAAATGCGCCCAGCAGATGTTGCTGCGCCCCCCAAAGGTGCGCACAACAAATTGGGGGAACGTCCTGTTGTCCAAAATGAAAACAAAGGAAAACATTTCGAAAAAAAAGTTCGAAAAGATGAAAAAAATGAAAAAGATAAAAATCGTAAAAAAAATAAAAAAGGAAGGAATGCCATTTGATTTTAAAAGGAAAAGCAGCGTTGATAAGGACGCAGGTTCACAGATCGGCGAAGACAAATGCCACACGCATGAAACGTCGACAGTCGTGTCCATTCAAAGGACTGAGCTCTTTGTTCGTAGGAAGGAGTTCGAATCGATGGGGAAGCGGGTAGTTAAGGGGAAGGAGGACGTTACAAATGGAAAGTGTTCATCCCCAATTGAAGGCAATGGTATGGGGGAGTACACAGAGGGCAGTGTTAAAAAGAAGAAAAGGAAGAAGAAGAAGAAGAAAAAGAAGAGCACCACCGGGGGGGACAGTACGCTCGTTGGTGAGGGACGCAGCTTTGGTGAAGGAAAACCGAATGGAGGCGCGGCGATGTATGAAGAGAGCGTTCCTGAGAAAGTACACGGTGAGACGCTTGCTTCTTTGCAAAAAGCAGAACGAGAAAGTGGACAGCATAGCAAAGGGGAAGCAACGACCCCATCTCTCAATGGAGTCACTGTACATAATGAAGACGAGAGGTACAGCAAAAGTGTAAGGGGGGAGCAGCGCGAAGTGGACGCGGTGGTGTCACCGATTGGGGGTGAGAAGGAGAAACGGAAAAGAAAAAAAAAAAAAAAGAAACGTGGAGATGCCAATGGAAACCTTAGTGAGGACGACGAAGCCGGAAGTCCGAGCCAACTGAACCTGAGCGAATATACAATACTAAAGGAAATAAAAATTAAACAGAGCAACGAAGTGGTGCAGCTGAACATGGACTCGTCCTTCTTTGTGTCCAGAGGCGCGGGTTTGTACAATTATGGCCAGAACATTTGCTTCTTCAACAGCATAATACAGACCATTGTGAGAATCCCCTACATCTGCAAAGATTTGTTAAACAAATTACATTCTTTAAATTGTGAAAAAAAAAAAGTCAGCGTATTTTGCTTCTATTGCTTGTTCGAACAATTCGCTTGCAATATTATTTCCAAGAAATGTGGAATAAAAAATATGCTCATCCCTTATATAAAAAAATACATATGTAATAATTATATTGTTGGGTACCAGGAAGATGTTCATGAGTATTTGCGTTACTTCCTGTGCTCATTGGAGAAGTCTTCCTTTGCGTCTTCCATTTATATACAGAAAATGTTTACAGGGGTCACCAAAAACATAACGATATGCACAAAATGCAACCACGTCTCATTAAAATATGAGCAGTACTATGAGCTTTCATTGGATATCAGCTCATCTAACAATTTAGAAGAAGCACTGAAGAAATATTTGTCTAAGGAAACCCTCATGGGTGATAATGGTTACTACTGTGACAAATGCAGGAAGAAAAAAAAAGCCACGAAACAGTGTGTTATTAATAAACTCCCAAGAGTACTGACAATACAAATTAAAAGATTCTTTATGAACTCTAAATTTAATGTGGTGAAAAATCATAAGCCTATTTCCTACCCCTTGTACCTGGACATGAAGGGATATGTTAACAACTACTACGACTTGTTTCAAAATAATTTTAACAATAATGTGATAGCGCTGTACGAGAAGGCGAACCCGCCCACGGGGGGAACGAGTGATCAACAAAACGGTGTAGTGAATGAGGAGCGTAACGGCGAAGCGAACGGGCAGCAAAGCGGCGTAAGAGGTGACCAAAGGAACGCCCCGCCGGGCGCGCGCCCCAATCCGCACGTCCTCAACCAAATTGCGCACATCTTCGCCGAGCTGAAAAGGGAAGTGTGCAAGAGGAAAATAAAAAATCAGCTGACCCCCTCACACCTCAGAAGCATCATCATGGAAACAAAAAAACGAATCCTAAAAGAACTGAACAAAATAAAATTCTCCAAATTTTACAACGACATTCTTTTGAGCATATCGAAGGACATCGAGACGCTGTACTTCCACGTCCGGGCTAACGCAAGTAGGAAGCATTTCAGCTTGAAGGGAGCCCTTTTTAACTTTAAGGTGGAGTATCTCAATGGGCAGGAGGATCACCTTCCTCCCCAATACGAACCGTGTAGCACCGAAAATGGCCATCGAAATGAAAGAAATAAGATTGGTGAGAAAGGAGAACACTCACCACGTGAATCACACAATGGGAAGAATCACGCGAACAAAAAAAGCGCAAGCTATTTTTCATACGAATTAACAGGACTAATTAAGCACATTGGCTCCGGAACAGAATATGGGCACTACGTAGCGCTGACCAAGTCGAACAACAACATCTACCTCCTCTGTGATGACAATAACATTTCATACATTAACAAAAAAGACATTCTAAATTGTGTAAAAAATGCTTACGTTTTTATTTACACGTGTATGCACCCAGGCTTCATCGATTTTTATAATAAGTATGTGGATGTCTTGGAAAAAAAAAAGTTTAACATAAACTTGCCTGTATTTGAGAAGCGAGTCGAATTCAAGGAACGCATAACTATGCCCAAGCAGAAATTCATTAGTAGGTCTCTCCATTTTTGAGATGCGGGCGTGTGCGGCCTGTTCCCGAGTTGGGGGCATGTTCGAAGTGGCAGGGGGGAGGGGAGCCATTTATATAGCGATTTTTTGGAGCCATTTATATGGCGATTTTTTGGAGGCATTTATGTAAGCGATTTTTTGGAGCCATTTATATGGCGATTTTTTGGAGGCATTTATGTAAGCGATTTTTTGGAGCCATTTATATGGCGATTTTTTGGAGGCATTTATGTAAGCGATTTTTTGGAGCCATTTATATGGCGATTTTTTGGAGGCATTTATGTAAGCGATTTTTTGAAGCCATTTTTTGGAGCCATTTTTTGGAGCCATTTTTTGGAGCCATTTTTTGGAGCCATTTTTTGGTGCCATTTTTGAAGCGAATTGTGTGGAAGGAGCATGGAGGAGGTTTCCCAAAAAACGTTCTCCGTTGAAATCTCCTCCATGACAACTCTTCCCGGATGAGCCAAGATTACGTTACAAGTTAGACAAAAAAAAAAAAAAAGCAAATGAAGTGGCTAAACCGGTGCCATGGTCATGTCGTCAGACGCACCACCATGTGCATATTCGATAGGAAAAAAAAAAAATCCTCATCAACACGCAGATTGATGACAAGTGACCGAATCCCCTCCTTCTTTGCTTCCCACCCCTAAGTGAAATGTCCCATTGGAGGCACAAAAAACTGTCTCCGTCGAACTACCATTAATAGCTTTTTGTGCCCCGTGCCCCTCCAAAAGACGACCAAGTTGCTTCCACTCCATCTCCGCATGTGCGTATTGAGAAGAACCCCCCCCTTTCGCCTACCCCCCCAAATGACAAATCTTTTTTGTTACGTTGGGGAACTGTTTTATCCCTATTTGATGATGAATTTTTTTTTCATGCCTTTTCGCGAATGTGGGCGGATTGACTTCATTATCCCCTTTTGTGTCTCCTCGTGATTAGCAACTCTTCCCCTCGCTGATCCTCTCAATTTCTTCCTTTTTCGTTTTTTTTTTTTTTTTCTTTTTTTTGTTTTTACGTAATTTCCTAATTTGTTAACCCTTTTCATCATATCCTTATTTGAAAAATTGAACCCACCCCTCTTCTCCTTTTTTTTTTTTTTAATAAATAATCTAATTATTATGCAAATTCGAATTGCACATTTTTAATTTGGTGCGAACGCTGTTGTGATCCGCTTCCATCCACTGCGATGCTGTGTGCCCGGAAGAGAGATCCTCTGCCAGGTGCTCCCTACAACGGATATGTCTCGTCCCATGCCCCGCCCTGAACCGTGGAAGCATTGGTTATAATAACTCTATTGGACGTGGGGTGTCCTTAGCAGGGCAGTGCACCGAGCACTTGCGCCATTCACTTTTGTTTGCAGTGAAAAGGGGTGATGGTGCTCTTAGTGCCGCTCTACGGGGAAGAAGACACACTTCATTTACAACTCCGATTTTCAGAAGCGTGACGTTAAAAGGAACGGAGGCAACTTCATATAATGTGGAGGGATTACTTCCCTCACAAAAGGTGCAACTAAGGTAGGTTTCGACTACTCCCTTTTGTTACTGACATAGGGAGAAGGGGGTAATCCCAATTCGGCAAAAAGTTCGTAGCGCGTTCATTTTGGCGACGAGTGGACAAAAAAAAAAAAGCACACAACAACGTAATAACGCACGAATGCACACATGTATATTACGACACATTTGCGTGCTGCTCCAACAAATAGCATCTCACCGCTTGCCCTGGCGGTTGCGCGAAATTTCCTTGATGAGCGAGTCAATGGTTATATTGTCGAGGATACTTTGTATAACTTTGTTCAGCGTGGAGATGTCGTTGGGGATATTTTTATCGAAGCGAATTTTCTGCGCAATCCACCCCCCTTCGATTTTCTCCTCCATCCCATTCTCATTTTTGAAAATGGAAAAAATATTTTTCGCAACATAATAGCATTCAATAATATAATGAGAAATCTTATTGTTTAACGCTAGGGTTAGGAGTTCCTTGTACACGTCCCCATACTCTGCAAGGTAGGTTCGATACGACGTCCTCACCCCCCTGATGGAAATGAAGAGCTCAAATTTTTGTGGGAAATTATGCTGGTCATATATCGTCTCAATTCCAAAATCAACGGTGTTTAAATTTAGTGGTTTCCATTTTAGCAGCTCGAAAAAATTACCAGTTCTATAAGGATAATGTAGTGGGGTCAATATAATCCCATCAGATGGGTGAGGCAATTTCTTCATAGTTTGAATGAGTTCTTTGATTTGCGAGATTGGGTAGAAATCTTTTAAGTAAATTTCGAATGGGAGATTTTCTTCCTCGGGGAGACTACCTTCATCGGAGGGGATTGTATCATCTGATTCGTCACACACATCTCCATCGGTAGGTGTGCCATAATGTTGTGCATTTGTGTAGGCCTCTTTGCTATGCATTGAATGATCATCTAACCCAAAGCGAGTGGCACTTCTTGGAAGAGAAGAAGTACCGTTATGATCGCTCCACTGATCGGGGGATGTGTCCTTATCACCCACTTGGTCCACTCCTCCTCTTCTTAGGCTCTGTTTATCACTGCTATTTGCGCTCACATTTTTGCTAACATTTTTGCTGACATTTTTGCTGACATTTTTGCTCACATTTACACTTTGCCAAGCGTTCACATTTCCTTCATCCGATTCGAATGCAGAGTGCGCTGGAGGCGTGGGCCCGTCGGTCCCCTTCCTTTGCTTGATGTATCTCCTGTACTTCTTCAACGGAACAATAACAGAATTGTAAACATGGGTCAGTCTCTCCAAGTAGTTCAAAGCTGTTATGTCCTTCCTGTGAATAAACAGCCCGTCATATATCAAATACACAATTTTATTTTCTTCAATTCCTTTTTTTTCGTTAAAAATAGTGTCCTCGACCAATTCTCCATCGAGTAGTGTCAACTGCTGCTTGGAATGCAAATCGTCCTGTGTAGGAATGTGCATATCATTTTTGAAGATATCGTAATTTCTGTCAATTAGGAAAGTCGTATTGGAGGCAATAAATAAAAAGTACCTCACTCCATCGGTCTTTTCGCAAATTAAATAATCCTTGGTGAACAAATTCCTGATGTTGTGTTTTGTCAGCGATACTGGATTGCTTCCTGGGAACCCCTTGCGCTTCCATTTTAGCATGTCATTTATTTTCGATCGAATTTTCTCCTTTAGGAATTCATTTTCTATTTTTTCCCCCGGATGGTAAATATCTGTGATCATTATGCAGGGGGAAACGAACAAGCGGAAAAAAGAAGAAAAAAAAATAGGTAAAAAAAAAAATGTGAAAAAACGAAAAAAAAAACAAAAACAAAAAAAAGTGACCAATTTAGGCTACTTTACATATACAAGTTTGCAACTGGCCAACACTTTGTCATTTTTGTTTTTTTTTTGTTTTTTTTTTCATATTTCTTTATATTCATTTCGCTCCACACGGGGAACTCAATTTGGTATTTCGTCCCATCTAATCGATTGATGCACTTGTTCTTCTCCACGTCGCAATATTTTTTCTTTTTTTTTGGTGCGGCCACAATCATCCCTTCTTACCTAATAATTGGCTGCACAGATACCACTTTGGCAAATCCCCTTTTCTAACAATTTAACCGAATGATTGAAGAACCCTTTTGTAAACGATGTATTTTTAAGTGACTAGCAAAAATTATTTGCTTACATGTGCAGTGTGTTCGTGCACGGGTTCCACCGGCGGGGAAATACTAACTCACACGGTGGCACAACATTATGTACGTGTGTTCCAACGGGGGAGAGGTTCCTCTTGCTCTGCTTTTCGCCTTCGAGGCATTTTCGCATCTGTGTAGGTGTTACCCCACTGCTGTTATGCTACTCCTAACGTGTTCAAAATGGTTGCCTCTAATGCCTTTCATAAACAAAAAGTTTGCCCCTTTTAATATAGGTATAGCCACCCTTTTTTTGGTAAATTTTTACCTTTTTTTTTTTTTTTTTTTTTTTTTGTTGTTCATATTTTGAGTCTCTTGACATGTGCACGGGGGGTTGCGCGATTCATACAGCTTCACCCTCGAAGCGCTGTTCGTTGTGGGAAAAAATGAAGTGTGCACATAGCAAGTCAAGTGCAAGGTATCCAATGTCCGGTGTCCCTTCCATCGCGCAATCGTTTCTCAAAATATAGGGGTTTGTTTATGACAACATTATATGACCACAACCTTGGGGGGTTAATAAACTCGAGTTGCGCATTTAACTGTTGCATTTTGCCCTGCGCGATGCGCGAACAAGTGTAGAGATCTCAGAAGGAAGGAGTGAATGCCCCTTGTCCTGTCCCCGCTCCTGCGCTAGGTTCAGGCTGAAGCGGCAGACTATTTTACAAACACGGTTAAGCATGTCCGCATGCGTAACTCCATGGGACAGTATGCACCTCGCGCGTTTCCGAAGACACAAATGACGACTGCTAGGCAGAACAAAGTGAACGCGGAAAAAGGAGGGGCAAACCGAAAAAAAAAAATATACTGAAATATATATGTATATATTGTGCATATATGTATATACCTGCACATGTGTACACATATGCGTACGGAAGAAGCGCAACGAGAGCACCAACTCTTTATTGTTTCATTTCCACTGGGTCAAGCGTTTTCCAATCCCAACGAAAAGGCGCGAACAAAAAAATACACGGAAAAGTGTCATAAAAATTAAAAAAAATGCAAAAAAATAAAATATGCCAAAAAAAAAAAAAAAAAATAAACCTTTTTTTGTAATCCCAATTGGGCATTTTTATTTGCCAAATTATCCTTTTCCTTATTCCCCCCATTCACCTTTTTTTTCCATTTTTGCACATGTTAAGTATTTACGTTTTATAAGCTTTAGTAAAAACTCATATTTCACGCGGACGATTAACTTGCCCGCATGAGGGTATACCACTTCCCGTACGTACGCAGCATGTGTATGTGTAACCCTATGTGTACCCATGTAAACGCGCTGATAAGCTTTCCCCTGTCCTTAAGCGTACGCGTTGCTCTTTTTTCTGTCCTTTCAAACAGTTGCACAGACGCAATTACTCTGCGCGGCTGTGTCACTCATGTAGGGGTTAACCAATTCGAATATTTTGTGAATGACTGAGTGGGGGGGATTTTTTTTTTTTTTTTTCCCCATCCTTCCAGCAGCCAGCGTCTCGTTGTGCAAGTCCCCCCTTATCATTATCCTCATCATTTTTTTTTTTATATGTACCAGTTCGGTGACGAATATTCTGGCTTCCACCAGTCGCTCCCTTTTTTTTTAAAAACCTGTCATGTGTGACCGCTTGTAATCGATACATGCATGGGCACGTCCCCGCCAATTTTATTCATCTCCATAAATGCATACTCCTGTGAGTACCTATTTTGTGTGTGCGATTTTTTCTGTAGCTCTATGATTTGTATATGCATGAATGGAAATTACAACATCCCTTCTGGGGTTTCCTATTTCTCGCCAGCTGATGCTATTTTGTAAATCTTCACATTTGTATATTTTTGTCCAATATATAAAATGGATGCATAAATGAGTTTACCAAACCGTAAAAAAGGGAAGGTTGACTTGAATATTCTTTTTATTTGAGAATGGCATAGTCCACTTCCACATGACCTGTCGTTATTTTCTTGGAAGCTGCATAATTTAGCCCAAGACAGATTGGTATATCCAAGGTTGACCCCTCATCATTGTTATATTTGTTTTTGTGTTTAATTGTGGCGTCTTTGGTTCATCATTTTGTTTCATTTACATTTTTTTTTTTTTTTTTTTTTTTTTTTTTTTTTTTTTGTTTAGTTTATACAAGCTACGTATAACTGTGTGTCATGTGGCATGTGACATTGTTGCAGTGCAACAGCCTCTTTTTATTTATCTACTTTTTTGTTCATTTTTAAAATAATAAAAAGTGAATGACATGAATGCCGCTCACTCGTGGGCGCAGACGAAAGAGACGTCACAACGGAAAATAGCTACAAGGTTGTGATGTCCCAATTTGGACAAATGTAAAGGAGTAAGATTTTTCATCAGCTTGTCCCCAAGAATGCTTTTAACTCCCTTGTTGCAAATATTATTCAAACATAATATAAAACGTATCACACATCAGATCTAGCGAAAATGAACCAATATGATCAGTGGAATCGAAGGATCCGCGTAAGCTTAAACAAATGGTGTTCACAGAAAAAGGAGCAGCCATGTGCACAATGTTGTTCGCGTGGAGGATGGATATGCGTCGTGCATACTGCATGTTGGGCAAATTTGTTCTGCGCCTTTTCATAGCCAGAACAAAACTTCACACAAAAGACAGGTACGCAGTTCTCACATTTTTAAACGTGATATGGCTTTTTTTTTGTCCTCCACCCCCATCCCCGATGACAGACCATTTGGTATTGCAGTAGTTTATATGTGGAGTACAAAAATGCCTTGAGAAAATCGAAGAAGATGCCGGTCGAGAAAAAGACCGAGTACTGGGAGAAGAAGCACGAGGAGTTTGCCACGAAGATGTTGAACAATATATACGAATTGAGAGGTTCGCGCGGAGGACTACACTCCAGTGACATTACTGCGTTGGAGAGTGTTGTGTGTTGAAGTGGAGTCGCATTATTTGTGAGAGGGACGAATGTGTAGTATGTTCGTGTGTATCCCCCTCATTGACTATGCTCTCGAAAAATGTGCCTAATATATGTATGCATATATGTGTGCGTATAATTTCCACCCTCCCTTTACGCAGGATGGTGGGTGAAGGTAGGGCAGTTCCTAAGCACGCAGGAAAATATCATGCCCGTGGCATACATCGAGAAGTTTACAAAGCTGCAGGATATGATGCCCACCTCTTCTTTCGACAAGATAGAAGTCATTCTTAAGAAGGAATTGGGTAAGCAGTGACTCTTCCTTTGTTCTATACGCGATATGCTTGGGGGGAACATGGCCGCATTATAGTCTCCTCAAAAATGGGGTAAGCGAAAACGTATCATTTTATGTTCCCCCCTTCAGGAAACATCTATGACATATTCGAGCACATTGAAAAGGAGCCGCTAGCTAGCGCATCGATAGGACAAGTACATCGAGCCAAATTAAGGAAGCATGAACATTATGCCATTCAGGATAAAGTGGAGAAAAAAAATGACTACAACGTGATTATAAAAATTCAGCATGAAGGAATTGATCAATTTCTTTCCTCCGATATAAATACCTTGAAAAAAGTATCCTGGGCATTTGGTCTTATAGACAAAAATTTTTATTTCACAGATTTCATTGATGAATGGCAAGACTCGGCCTCGAGAGAATTAAATTACAAATACGAATTATATCATCAGTTATTAGCTTATAATACTTTTAAAAAATCTGGTATTCCTTTAAAAATACCTCAAATATATTGCGCCTACACAACCTCCAAAGTTCTCGTCATGGAATACATCAAGGGGTTTAAGATAACTGACACGAATATGATTAAGAAGTATAAAGTGAATGCATATGACTTGGTTTATAAAATTATCGATTATTTTGCTTATCAAATTCATAATGATGGTTTTTTTCATGGAGATCCTCACCCAGGAAATATTCTCGTAATGATGCAGGAGAAAGGGCGAAGGAGGAAAAGGAGGAGGAGAAGGCGCTCAAAAAAGGGGGGAAATCCTGCACAGGGAGGTGAAAAGCCTATTCCAGAAGCACTATTCCCCACAGATGGAAAGAAGGAAAATATTTTCAGTACAACGGGGAACACATCGAACGCGTCTAACTTCTCCTGGAATATGTCTAACGCGTTCAAGACACCCAATCAGTCCAACGCGCCAAACGCTTCGAACGCGTCGAGCGCCTCCATGGAAGACTTCGTAGATGCCAGGTACAACATCGATAGGATGAAATGCGAACCGGTGAGTTCTGTCAATCCCTTTTATAAATCCTTTAGCTTTGTGGACTACACGAATAACAAAAATCAAGAAATATCTGACCAGGTATTGAAGGAAGACTATGATTTCATCCTTAATGAAAATGTCAGCGACGGAGTGAGCACCATCCGGAAGAGCATCTCCAAGTCCGAGGAGTGCGTGTCGTATGGAAACTCCAGGAGGGACGACTTCTTGCTGGTGCCAAGTGCTACTACTCCAGGGGAGGAATGTTCAACTAAGTTGGTTGACAATGAGAATAACTCGCTGCACACGCAGGGAAATCTGTTCGAGGGGGGTGAAGTCCGACCAGGGGACGAAGTGGACAAAAAAGGGACCGAGGCGCAGGGTAGGGAAGCAGCACTGCAGGGTAGCGAAGGAGCACGGCAGGGTAACGAAGCCCCATTGCAGGGTGACAAACCCCCATCGCACAGTAAAGAAGCCTCATCGCAGGTGCAGCCCGCACCCGCAGGAGGATGCAGACGGAAGAAGAGGCGCACCTACTCCTTCGTGCCCGTGATCATCGACTGGGGGCTCATTAAACAGCTGGACAGCGTGATGAAGTTGGCCTTTTGCAAACTGGTGTACAGCGTTAGCTGCATGAATGTGCTGAACATCATCGAGGCGTTTGAGGACATGGGCTTTTGCTTTAAGGAGGACTTCACATACGACCCAGAAATATACATTGAAAATTTAAAGCGTTTTTTTTTAAAAAAATTGGAGGAGTCCAGCAACAAAATGAGTGAAGGGGGCGGCATCGGTGGGACTGCAGGAGGATCAGGAGCAGATGACGAAAATGCAAATGGTCCAGACGCAACAGGGACAAATACAAATTTAGATGTTCTTAAAAATATGGACAAGAAGGAAGTCCTAGACCAAAACCCAATTAGTGATGTTCCAAAGGATATAATTTTTTTCATGAGAGTAGCTTCTTTGCTCCATGGATTATGTACCCAAATGAATGTCAACATAAATTACCTAAGCATATTTTCAAGGCGAGCTAAAGAAGCCCTTGAAAAAGTATACAAGCCGATTCACCATTCCATTTATACGATCCCGATTGATAAAACTCCCAATTCGTTTCTTGAAAAGAGAATACATAATTTGCTTAAGAAACTGTATGAGGAGAAGAAAATTTTGGGGTGCCAGGTAGCTATTATACACAAGAAAAAAATAGTCGTGGACACTTGTGTAGGGGTCACCAGCACAACGGACAAAAGACCCATAACGAGACACTCCTTATTCAATGGCTACTCCTTAAACAAAGCAATTATCACCATCGCCTTGATACATCTTATGTCGAATTTGGTAAATGAACAGCACTCTTCGGAGAACGTCCTCTTAAATTTGAGCAAAAAGGATAATACGAAGGAAAACCAACAGGCGGAGGGGATAGCTAATTTGAGTACGGTGCGTAAGGCTAAAGAGGACGCGGCCCCTGCAGGGGAGAGTGACCAATGGAAAGACGCCCAGCACACACAGGATGTGCAGAACAAGTGCGTCAATGATATGCCCAGCGATATTAGCAAAATTGAAAATGATTATTTTTTACCTGTTAAGAAAGCGGACGTGCAGGTGGAAGAGGCCCGTGTTGGGGATCTCTCGAGTGCGCCCATGACAAGGTATAGCAGCATCTACGGGGTGAAGAAGAATACGCGTCGATACTGCAGCAGCTACGAGCACACGTTTAGCAGCGATGAGGAGGATGGAAAGGAAGAAAAGACGGCGCAGACAGCATCTCAACGCGACGCTGCGATTTCCCCGCGAACCCCCCCTTTGGAGGCAAGCAACGAAGTCTATGCCGGACACAACCGTGAATTCTACGAAAAAATCATAAGCGATATAGAAGCCAGGCAAATAAAAAACTTCAAGAGTACCATCAACGAGTATATATGTAACTACTGGGACGGATTCATATGCAAAAATAAAAAGAGCATCACCATAAAGGATGTGCTAACCTTGAAGTGTTTCATTAAAAAACCATTTCAGGATAAAATCACTTTAAGTAAATTCATAGACTATAATGAAATGATAAAAATGATAGAGAGCTCTCGCAACTGTCACATGAAAAGGAAGTCGAGGAAGCACGGATTCTACCTCTACCTAATCGACACCTACATTATCTCTGAACTTATAAACAACATTTCTGGTCTCAAGTATTATGAGTATATTTACAAGTATATTATTAAGCCGCTCAATTTGAAGGACGAAATGTACATCCCCGTTCCCTCATACATTTTGAAAAAACACCAGGAGGAAATGAAGAAAAGCAAAACTGCAAGCGACTCTTCTGGGGTGAATGAAAAGGGAAAAAAAAATAACTACAAGGAAAGTAAGACAAGTCTAAAGAAGGAATCTTCCAACCACCTCAAAAGCAATGAATTAAATTTAAACTCATTTATGTCGAAGAAGAAGAATAAAAAATTAAACAGCGCTTCAAATTATGGGCTCCAATTTCACCAAGGGCAAAATATAAGCCCGTCCAACAGTAACTATAATAATAAGCCTTTCCAGAATAGCACTTTTATGAACAAACTGTGGAACAGAAAATTTAGGTCCCCATTGGAAGAAGTGCAAATTAAGACGCGCTCCATAAGTGTCGACGTGTACTATTCTTCTAGGGGCAGGAACGCCGGTGCCGAGGCCACCTCTCCGAAAGGGGCAAAGAATGTGCGTGACACGGTCAAGGGGAAGGAGGTTAGCGGGGAGGCGGTTAGTGGTGAGGTGACTGTCGGTGAGGTGATTAGCGGTGAGGAGGCGAAGGATGAGGTGGTTAACGGTGAAGTGGTTAACGTTGAGGCGGTTAGCGGAGAGGTGGCTGGCGGTGAGGAAAGGCAGGCGGAAGCAGAAGCCAACGGGGGGGGCACCAACACGGATGACGCAGCCCCAATGAACGTCCTCCTAAATAATAAAAAAATCGCCGAGTTGGTGGGCGGAGTGAAGTTCGACCCCACCAGCATGCTAGAAAGCAACCTAAAAGCAAAGGAACCCTTGAGCCTGAAAAACAAGCTGCTAAATCATGTAGACAATCTCAAATTCAAAACGAAAAAAATTAACGACTCGATTAAAAATATATACGAAAGTAATGAGAACACATTTTTAAAAAATCTTTTTATAACTCCATTGAAGAAATCTGAAAATGACAACGGCCCCTTCTCATATGACTACCCCAGTGTCGAGCTTAGTTACATGTACGACAGAAGGTTGGGTAGTTATACAAGGAAAAGAAATTATCAAAATTACCCATACGGTGCACACAATTATTATTATAATGAATTTGCTGGAGAAGACATAAAACAAAATAAAATGGAAAAAAAATGGAATATAAAAAATATTAACAAAATTACTTCAAACTGTCGATTCTCAGAAAAAAATAAAAAAGATTTTTTGTTTGTGCGATCAAATGACGAGAGAAACAAGCGTTCGCATAGCTGCACAAATTATAAGTTAGTCCAATACAATATAAACAAGTACACACATCGTGATGAGGATGGAAATAAATTACCCTATTCGAACAACTCCAATGGTATTGTGTTTAAGTACCAGAAAGATACAAATGAATATCTCTTCGATTACAATATTCATTTTTTTTCGGAGAATTTTTTTAATACAGTACCTGAAGGAAGCAATAAAAAAAATGAACCCAATGATCCCAATAGTCCGTCTTACAATTTAGAGGAAAGGAGCCGCTTATACAAATTAACGTTCGACGAAAATATAAAAACGCTGCTCGAAAATGTAGACGCGAAAAGCAGCGGTGAAGAGTCCGCCAACAGTGTCCTGAAGGAGAAGTATAATAAATATCACAGACGGGATAAGAAGTACCGGAAGTTGTTTCAATATATAAAAGATTTGAGAATGAGCATACGAGAAAGGGAGAGGAAGATGAGGGAAGCCAGCAACGCCTTGGTGTGCACTTCTCAGGGGGATCCGGGCGATAGTGCTGTCAGAATAGGTAGCGAAAGCAGCACGGAAAGTGCTGCATTGACTGTGAGAAATGCAAGCTCTGTGAAGAACGAGAGTTTTGTGAAAAACGCCAGCTCCATCAAGAATGCCAGTTTTGTAAAAAACGCGAGCTCTATAAAGAACGCGAGCATGCTGAACAGCCACAACAGTTTCAAAAGGGAAGGAGCACCCCCAGAAATGAACCAAGACTTCCTCAAGAGTGTCATAAAAAAGGACGAGAAGCTTCTAAAAAAACTAATCGACTACAAGTACGCCATACTGAAGAAGCAAAGAAACAACATTTTGAAAAGAAAAAACAAAAAGAACATTTACATGAATGAATACTCAGACGAGATTGAGATGTTTAGTGACAGTGAAGAAGATTCACGTGGCTGCAGAAGGAGAGGAAATAAAAAGGGAAAAGGTATTCGCAAAGTAATCCGCAAGGGAAACGGAAAAGACAAAGGGCAGGACCAGCAAACAGATGCAGATGCAGTCTCGCCTGAGAATAGCGGGTGCGAAATGGAAGAAAGAAAACTCATAGACGAGAAGAAGCACAGACTGGAAACCTACTTAGTGATGAACAAGTTATATAAAAAAAACAACAAGGGTTTCATATCCGCAGAGAACCACACCATTAATAAGAGGACGGATGTGTACTGGCGCTTGGCATATTCTAAAAGAGACATGAACTTCATGGGCGACCTTGAGCATGAAGACGTAAATAGCACGTTCGATTCTATTTTGAAGCCAAACGTGAAGACGAAAAGAAATGGAAGCGGTGACACAAATGGATGGGGAGGGAAGGCTGGCAGCGCAGAGGGTTCCACTGGTGTAAATAATGTTAGTGGTACGAAGGGTGCAAACACGACAAACATGACTACCCCTACCAACGTCACTAACTCCACCAGTGGCACCACCACAGGATGTAACTCCAATCTGGAAAACAAACTGAAAACCTACCTAGAGAGCTTCACTGCGCAGCAGTACAACGAATACATTACCCTATTTGAGTTAGCCCAGGCAAAGCCGTACGTAGTAGACCCCCTAATTTACGACTCCAAAAAAATCCTAGACAAATATATCCCCATTAATGGACGGTTTACCGCTAGGGCTATGTGCAAAATAATGGCCTTTGCAAATAATAAATTTTTTTTTCCTTCTTATATTATGAACAAAATGAGGAAAATATATACGCTGGATGAAAGCATAGAATCTATGATCCTAACTGGGGGGATGAGCAGGAAATGGGGCATGGGCTTTCAGCTATTCGAGTGCGAATACACAGAAGCTATCAATGAGGATTTTTACCTGCGCAGGGGTAGGAAGAGCAAGGGGAAAAACGCCAACAAGGAAAAGACTGACAAATGTGGCAAGGCAGGCAAAAAGGGAAAAATGGGTCATGGCAAAATGCATAATAATAAAATCCCCCCTGCCAAGCCTAAGCGAATTGTTGGGTACGGACAATCCGACTGCAGCGGGTGCCTCGCCATTTCCTTTCCCGAAATTGACCTATCGCTAACCATTCTGCTTACTGACATTTTTAAGGGGGCAACGGTAAGGATTAAGATTTTGGGGGAAAACGGAATTGTCCTCTGGCAGTCACTGTGGGAGATGCGCCTACTGGACAGCGCCAGCTGAACACTGTGGGGAAGCTCGAACCACTTCCGCTTCCCGTAACATGCATATGTATATGCATATATGTATATATATATATTATTTATTTATTGTACCGCGCCCTTCAGGTTGCCCATATGATCCTGGAGTACGTGCTCAAGCTGTACGGCATAAAGCCCAAGTGGAAGCTGCCAGTGAAGGTGTCGGAACTGATAAAGGTTTTGTAGGAGGGGGCAAAACAGAACACACTAGTGCATCCATCCTTGTCCCTCGGATGTCATTTTTCACCCACGGGTGATTGTCATTTGTTCATATTAGTACCCATTTGCATAGCGCTACAGCTTTTCCCGATTGTCCTCCACTCCTTTGTAGCGATGCCCAACTGTTTCCAAAATGTCAAATGTTCTTCATGAAAATCCGTCCGCCACATATATATACATATGTATGTACATATATATATATTTGCATGTGTGTGTGTTTTTTTTTCCCCCTTCTTTGTACTAATTAAAAGAACGAATGGTCGTGTGCCACCTTAGCCCAGTCCATGTGTGTACGTGCATGCCTCCACAAGGGCAGCATATCGCGGCGGGAATGCCGAATAATTCCATGTGTCGTTAAAGGCAGAACTGTAATCATTTCACATGGTCTCTTTTTTAGTGTAAAAATATGCGTCATATGTTAATAACCTCATAAAAAAAAATTGGCGTCCTTTTTTTCCCCACTCGTCTTATGTACACGTCGGAGTTACGTACTTGCCGTAAGATCCCTCAATAAAGAAATATTATCAATATTGTAAAAACATTTGTAGAGCTAAAGTGCAATACTAATCTTAAGATTAAAATGGTGAGGAATAAGTGTAGAGGGCAAAATTGTTGCGTCATCTCTGCCCGTTGTAAATTATATTGACGACCGCTATCCTGTCGTTGCAGTGACTGTTGCCCAATAGTCATATCGCTCTGTAATAATGTTTCTTCTTACACGTTTTAACTTCGCAATTTCGGTTTTCCCCTCAACCGCATGATGAGGTAAATAATTTAATTTTTTTTTTTTTTTTTTTTTTGTACGCCTATAAAACAAGGACACCTTGCGAAATGCTTCACCCCCCGCTTGAAAAATGTTGGCAGTATCTTTTTATATATATTATTTCATTGTATTATTTTTAAGTTTCCTTTTTTTTTTTTTTTTTTTTTT